ATCCATAGAGATTTAAAAACCGCTAACATCTTGCTAAGCAAAAACATGCAAGCCAAGATTGCTGACTTGGGTTGTCCAGAGCTTTTGCCAATGACATTGACACTCACATTTCAACTCGTCCAGTAGGCACATTTGGTTACCTCGACCCTGAGTATGTTGTTATATAATAAATTTTTGTTATCATTTTTTCTTTTCCAATCTTGTTGATCCCCAAAATATAAATTGTTCTATTTCCTCAACTTCAGCAAAATATAATATAGAATAGCTTATCAGCAACTTGTTCATCATTCAACCCCATCTGGCAATACATATAACTCAGCTTAGCGTAATAACCGCAGCCTTGAATTTTAGCATTGATGGTTAATAAAGCACCTGCTTAGCTAATCTTTCTTCAAAGACTGATTAATCTTTCAAAATTGCAGGTTCCACAGAACTGGAAACCTGAATAAAAAAAGTGATATTTATAGTTTTGGGATAATTCTACTTGAGCTAATGACTGGCCAGCCAGCAATAACGGGAACATCTGACAGCATACGTCACATATCTGATTGGGTTAGTCCAAAGCTTGAGACTGGGGATATCCAAGCCATTGTGGATCCAAGATTAGAGGGAAAATTCAGCAGTGCTTCAGCATGGAAGTTTCTAGAAATAGCCATGTCTTGCATTACACAAACAGCAATCCAAAGACCTGATATAAGTTCTGTTGTAATTGATCTAAAGCAATGTTGGCTATGGAAACATCAATTGAAATGCAGAGAAAGCAGCAGTTTAATCCCAAGCACTACATTGGAAGGAAGCTATTCTCAGTCAGCACCATACTCACCACCATCTGCAAGGTGTAGCTGTTTGTAGAGGCATGCGTGGTCTTTCTCTGGATCATTCATAACTACTACAGAGATTTGTTTCGGGTGGTCAACTGTTTGCTTGCTTTGTTTAATTATGTAAAATAAAAAGGTATACATTTGGAAAAAATTACAAAGCAGTACACAATTTGGAGTCAATCAGTCAGGATACTACTCACTATTACCTTTATTTCTTTCCTGTAGTTCCAAATGACGAATAAATCCATTTTAGCTACACGTTTGTTTTTATGCTAGCATTCAAGTCAGCACTAACTTTCTGACATTCGTGTCTCCCACTATAACCTTTTCTATACTTTGCTTTTATTTTTTACACCTCACTCTTTAGCAACACATGGGTCACTACTCCTTCAAACCACATATTACTTATCTTTTCCTCTAAAGTATAAGTTCTTTCACAAATATCCGGCTTCACCTCAATTATATATCGTTCAAAGTTCCTAGACAAATCTGAATTAGAATAACCACCCTTCTGTTATATTTTACCTTAATTATAAAGACATTTTTATTTATTTAGAAAACATAAAGTTTTTATATCCATATTGTTAATTAAAATTTATATTACATATGCCTATTTGCTTATATACCCTTCACTGTAATAAATCTCTAATTCATCTTAATATCTGTGTCAAATGTACAAGTTTAAATAAATATGTTTAAAAGTTTTATTTATAAATTAATTAATATATATTCATATAACACCTGCAAGTCTATTATAAACAAGTTGTAGTTAAATTAACTACAACTTGTTTCTAATTAGTTGGTCCAGAGGTAGTATCAAGTCTATTTTTCGTACAAAAAATAATCTAATAAGAATTAAAAAATATATGTATTAAAATTATTTAATTTTTTCATTAAAAAATTACTTTAACGTTGGCTAACAAATAAGTATTTCAATAATTGTCAAACTTTAAATAGCATATTAATGTGAAATATACAACTTATGCCTTCATAGAAGATTGATATGTTTTCAAGTATAATTATGTGTGATTTTTTAAAAACAGTGCAAGGAAATCGTATAACTTGATTACAATTAAATTATACTTACGTTAAGATGACATTTTAGTGTTTATTTAGCATCACTTATATACAAACACTTATAAATACGTTTCATAAAAATTTAGATAATTTTTTTTTTATATACTTGTTTATATTTTATAAATCATGACTGAAAAGTTTATTACAAAACCATATTTAAAAAAGCCCTCCTTATCCTTAAGAGAATGATCTTCTGTATCCAGTGGAGTTCTGTCAGCCTTTTCTGTTTTGGGTTTATCGAGGAAGAGGCATAATAGTCGAAGTGGGGTTCGATGATTGCTTCTTTGTCTTGATATACGCAGAGATGAAGATGGTGATGTTTCAGGAGAGCTATCCACCATTTTTTATATTTTCCTTAATTGACGAATTTTTTCTGTGTGTCTGTGTATATAATAACACACACCCACAGAGTGTGTGGTGTGTACACACATCCTGAATCATTGACCGCATACCAGTTGGGTTTAAGGAACTTAGGGCCCATTTGGCAGAGTGGTAGAAATCTCCATAAAACACATTTCACGTGAGTCGAGACAAAACTCTTCACACATACTTGTTTTGTATTTACAAATCACTATTAAAAAATTACTTATAAACTGTTCCAAATAAGCTCTTAGCCATGTTTGTGCCAAATAAAGAAACTTGAAACCTAAGCCGGCAAGCTGGAATTAGTGTAACTCCTCCAATCTTTGATAAAAGACCTAATTGTTGAGTTGGTTTTAGTCCTAAATATAATATCCATTTATCATATTTATCAGTTTGTTCTAAATTACCTCTATGGATACTCCCTGAACCATAATCAAATAGAAGAGAAAGAGAGAGGTATAAAAAAGATGATTATGGTATTTTAGGAAAAATATGTCACATTTTTATAATTAACTAACTTACCTAACTTCTTAATTTAATCAAATAGTTAAAGGGTCTTATATAAGGATCGGAGGAGTAGTAAAAAGCAAATTTCAAAGGATGCCTTACAAATTCTTCCCAACGGTCTCTTTCTACAACCGCCATATATCAAAAGAAAAAAAAATATGATAGAATTTACGACAGGAGATTTTCTAATGTAATAAATCACAAAATTTAATTTTTGCAAATCCCTTTTTTTTGTACAACAAAATATTCCATCAAACATTAATTTAAATTTTTTTTCCGTTTTCATCACAAATTTCCATTGCAATTTTTAATGTTTAATGACTTCAAGAATCATATATAATATTAATATCAATATAAAATATAAAATTAATAGCGTGTTGTTAATATATAGGCTGTAAATTACAGTCATGCTTATTTTATTATTCCATGCAAAAGCTTAGTGAAACATCAAATAGTTCATTTCCGAGACCAACTATAGCAATATTGTAGACCATCTGTGCCTCCTTTTAACTAAAGCCACTTTAGTAATCCAAATTAATTGAATTATTATACTTTAGTCCTTTTTTGTCTACGAAAATTCCATACTAACTCATTTTCTGCTCATGAAAGCAGAGCCAGTAGTTTAAGCTACCCAGTTCATTTCTCTTTGTTCCTCTCTTATGAACTTGAAAACATGAAGAACACCATCATCACTGAGGATTCTGGCTTCTTCCTTTGTGACTATTGTTTCATTCATGCAAGTTGTTGCATATGATGGCAGCGACTCCGGTGAGGATTCCTAGCTGATCACTTCATTTTCTTCACTTTTTGTTATTTTTCTTCCATGCTTCAGTCATATATGCTTCTCAAGTTGAACACCTATATATATATATATATATATATATATATATTATATATATGATAACAACAGAAACAAAATAACTAAACAAATACAGATCCACTAAAAAACTATAAGAATGTCAAGGATTTAATCAACCAAAACTAACACACACACACAGTAGATCAAGATTGCAAGAGGAAAATAAAATGACTACTCCTTAAACCCACTGAGGAATTTCCTTTAAATCAACAAAGTATAAAGAGTTATAAATATACTACCTCCATCTCACTAATATATATAAGGTTTTTTTTTTCCAAAATTCTTATTTTTCAATTTATAAAGTATTTTTCATAATTTTGAGAGCAATATAGTTAATACTACTATTTTATCTATAAATGTCCCTGAGATTGTTGAAAGCACTTTCAAATAATTAATTATTGTAATTAGATTTTAAGAGAATCAACTGTATGTAATTAGAGAAGGGCTCATTAAAACAACAAACGCAAAACTTGGGATGCAAAATACTCCTCTAGTTCTTAATAAAAAACTTAATTAAATAATTTGAGTAAACTAAGAATATAGTTATATAGTTAGTATAATTTTTTTTAAATACCCTAAACATCTTTTTAATTTCCTTCTCCCCTCTCCTACTTGATTATTGTTGGAGGAATATCAATAGGGTTAATTTGAAAAAAAAATTGATGAATTTGCGAAATAATTCTTATATATAGGACTAACATTAACTTCCTAATTAATTCCTATATTAAGAACTGGAGGGTAATAAACATTTTTTTCTTGGTGGTTGTAAGGTAGTTTATGAACTCTATTTAACCTGAATGTAAGCTACTTTTATTTTTTTATATTTTCTTTAAATGTGATATTAACATTAAAATCCCAAATTATCCACAAGATTAAATTAAAAGTGGGGAGTCATCCGTAGTTAAATTAAAAATGTCTGAAATAATAAAAGAAGGGGTATATGCATATACTACCTTATTTTAAATAACTATGCCAGGATAAATATCTGAGATGGGTTTTGTCTCATAAGGTGTAAAATAAGTTCTTGTTAAGTGAGGAACTAGTTTCGATACTCATCACTTTGATGAGCACTCTAAATCATCAAATTTGGACTATCTATATCTTATTTGGATGATCTACATTTAAAATCTTAATTAACTATTTTTTTGAAAAAATGATAATTAAAAGATTATTTCTAAATAAAAATAAAAAAGAAATCAAATCTGAACCATCCTAATAAGATATAGATGATTTAGATCTAATAAGCACCGAAACTGGTTCTGTTAGGGATTATTGGAGCTTGTCAAACAAGCTTAGCTTAATTTTAAGATATCGTGTGATTATTTTGTGATCTATAATCAGGGGTGATAAGCATCGATTGTGGGCTCAACCAAATGGGTTATTATTGGGACGACGATGGTTTTTATTACAAGGCAGATAGTTCAAAGTTTGTAGAATCTGGGGAATTACAAAGAGTATCTTCTGAGTACACCTTGACGAGTGAGGACGAACAGCTAGGGCCACAACTGAACACCTTGAGAAACTTCCCGGAAGGAAAAAGGAACTGTTACACGTTCAGACCCAAACATGGCAGAAACAACAAATATCTCGTCAGGGCTTTCTTCAGATACGGAAACTATGACCACAAAGATTTTATTCCAGTCTTTGAGATGCATCTCGGTCTCAATTATTGGACAACAATTGATGAGTTATCTGGTTCTAATGATATAGTAAGAACCGACATTATTCATGTCGCCTTGTCCGACCACATTGACGTGTGTCTTGTAAACATAGGCCGAGGAATACCCTTCATTTCCTTGTTAGAGCTTTATCCTTTGCCATTTCGTCTATATCATGCCACGTATGAAGCCAGTTTACTGCCATTAAAACTCATCTCACGAGCTAGCTTGGGTGTGGTTGAAGACTCTGTTTTCATCAGGTGACTTCACTAACTTAAACTGTAGTGTAGGTTACAGTACAAACCAGATGTTATATTTAAGATGGGAGGTAGTATTATGATGAACATAAAAATAAGTGGAATTTCAGTGACCATTCTTGTTCAAATACTTAATGCAGATACTCTGATGATATCTACGGGAGGTCCTGGTTCACAAAAGCCACATTGGACAACTCAGTGCCAATCAACACATCATCAGAAGCCATTGACAATGATTCCACAGAGTACAAACTACCAAAGGAAGTTTTGAGCACGGCAATCCAATCACTAAATCCTTCATTTTCCTTGAACATCAGTTGGGATTATGACACGCATCATGAATATTATGTTTATCTTCATTTTTTTGACTTCGTGGAGCAATCTCAATACCAGAAAAGAATTATGAAGATTGCTTTTACTGATACAATCCAAGACTCTGTAGCTCTTGAATACCAGCAACTCCAAACCAAGTCTTCTCCAATTCCAAAAGGAGTCTCTCTGACTACTATTTCGATCACATCCTCGCCAGGTTCTAGTTTGCCTCCGATGATCAATGCTTATGAGATCTATAAAGTACCACGCCAACCCAATTCAACAACCGATCCAGATGATGGCAAGTATACTTGATAATTTCTATTTTGTTATTGTATTGTATCCTTTTCCTTTTTCACTTATGAACGACGGCTAAGTTGGCTTGTTATTTAATTTCTTAATATTCGTAAAACCTGGAACTCTACTACAGTTGATGCTATGCGGAATATCAAACACGGTTATGATATCCTGAGAATCAGTTGGCAAGGAGATCCCTGCATGCCAAAAGCTTATAGATGGGAAGGTGTAACTTGCAATTACTCTCAAAACTTTCCAAGGGTCATTTCATTGTGAGTAGTTTTGTCCTGCAGCATTTTTCATGCATGCTGCTTAATTAATGATATGTTAGTATTATTGAACAGAAAAAGAGCTGTGACTCCCAAAATAAATAAACCATTCTTTGTAATTTATGAATAGGAACTTGAGCTCAAGCAAATTAGAAGGAGAGATGGATGGTTATTTCTCTAAACTCGAGATGCTGGGGTCCTTGTAAGTATCTTCTATGTAAAGTCAGCTCAAATTTTCCAAACGCTGCACACACACACAATAATGAGTTTTCCGTTGTAGAGATTTATCAAACAACCAGCTGACAGGAGAAATCCCACAATCTTTAGCAAAACTAGCCAATTTGAAAATACTGTAAGTTGCAATGCTTTGGCATAGTATAATAATACTATCTCTTGTTTATTAAGTCTTGCAATTTAATTATCTCACGTGATATTTGCAGTAATTTGACAGGAAATAATTTCTTTGGTTCAGTTCCTGAGGTTCTGACTCTGAGGGCGAAATCCGGTTGGACACTGCGGTTTGTTCTTATTCTATATATGTGTGTGTGTATTTATAGTCGTATTCATTTCCGAGGTCTTACTAATATTATACATGTCATCAACCATTTACTTGTACGGTAAGCTGACTCTTTTATATATTCTACTCCTAGTTTGGATGGAAATCCAGGCCTATGTCAAACAGCAGGCTCTTGCAAAACCAAAAAGCTGATCGGACCACTTGTTGCCTCAGCGTTAGTTTCTATGGCAGCACTTGTAATAATAGCTCATGTTCCTATAATGCTGCACATACGTAAAAGAAAACAGCAAAATGGTAAGAAAGCTCCCCAAGTACATATCCCCCAATAAAAAGCTTTTCATTATTCTGCTCAATCATATATATCATTTTGGGTTCATTTGCAAATTCAGTTGTATACATGTATAATGCTATTGTTGATCTGATGCATATATTGCTGCAGTGATGTTGTGTAAGAAAGGTGGTGATCTTAAACCAAAATGTCAAGCATTTTGTCAGGATGAAGTTCTTAGTATTACCAATAACTTTAAATCAGTAATTGGAGAAGGGGGGTTTGGAAAAGTGTACCTTGGAAAATTACAAGATGGTACACAAGTTGCAGTAAAATTACTTTCTAAGTCATCACAACAAGGATTTAATGAGTTTGAATCAGAGGTTAGCAATTAAAATCGCTTATTAATAGTATTAGATATTCAAAAGTTTAGGCTATTATATTATACTGCTATACATTATGTGACAAAGGTAAAGGTTCAAATTGCAGGCAAAATTATTATCCATGGTTTATCATAAGAACTTGCTTTCTCTTGTTGGTTACTGTGACAATGGTGACATAAGAGCATTGATTTATGAATATATGGCAAAGGGAAATCTCCATCACCAATTGTCAGGTTTGTTAAGTCTTATTTTTCACCTCACAATTATAACATAACATGATGTTAATTCAAGATTAAGAGTATGTTTTTCGTTTTAACTTAGGTGACCAATATTATTTTAGATTTTTCCTTACAGTTTTCAAGGTTCAGGGTGTTTCAAAGAACGATGCATGACTTCTTGCACAACATGAATGTTTTGCAGGTAAAAACCCTTATGTTTTAAAGTGGAATGAGAGACTTCAAATAGCATTAGATGCAGCGTGTGGTATGTAAACTTTTTTTTTTTTTCCATTTCTTCCTTATCTTTGCATTATAGCTATCCTTTTTCCTTTATGTTTTTCTATAACTTATATTCTTTACCTTTTATTTGAGCTCAAGTCTTTATTTGTTCGATGGAAATGCAGGGCTAAACTATCTACACAATTGCTGTAACCCACCAATAATTCATAGAGACCTAAAATCATTTAATATCTTGCTAAGTGAAAACATGCTTGCTAAGATTGCTGATTTTGGACTATGTAAAGCTTTTACAAGTGACACCGACACTCACATTTCAACTCGTCCGGCTGGCACGTTTGGTTACATAGATCCTGAGTACGTTATTGATTACAATATTTTCTACTATATTGTTTTCAATCCTTGATAATTAAAGAGTTTGCTCTATATATTCTCCTCAATCTTAAGCAGAATTTTTGAGGATAGGTAGCATATTCACTGTTCAAATCCATCTAGCAATACATATAATTGTTAACTTTTAAAGTAATCTAGAATTGAATAGAGCAATGGGTGGGCTGAAAATGAACAATTTCTTGTTTCAGATTTTATAGATTTGGAAACTTGCACAAATCCAGCGATGTTTACAGTTTTGGGATAATTCTACTTGAGTTGATGACGGGTCGATCAGCAATTATGAGAACAGCTGAAGGCAGGAGTCACATTGTTGATTGGATCAGTCCAAAGTTTGAGGCTGGGGATATAGAATCCATTATGGATCCAAAGTTAGAGGGGAACTTCAATATCTCTTCAGCAAGAAAGGTTTTAGAGATAGCCATGTGTTGCATTAAACCAAGTGGTGTGAAAAGACCAGATATAAGTAATGTAGAGAATTATCTAAAGCAATGTTTGGCCTCGGACACATTGCCTGAAGGTGCAGAAAGCAGCAGTTTATTCTCAAGCACCACATTTGATTCCAGTTTTTATCAATGTGGATCATCACACTCACCGCCATTATCTGTCAGGGAAGAATGTTTGTAGCGACAAGTTAATTCATGTAAGTTTTTCTCAATCATAGCACTGTAAATTATAAATTTTGTGTATTGAACTTAGCCAACAATCAAGGTTGTCAAGCTCACGATAAACCCGTGAGAATGAGATAAACTTGAATCGTAAAATCGTAAGAGTTTACTTTTATTAATAAACTGGTATTAAAAGTATATAATCAAATAATTAATATATAAAAAATGAGAATAATTTCATTTAAATATATTTTAAATTTAAATAATTAAAATTATATCCATCAATTATCATAATTTATCACATTCAATAAAGAAATTTTTATAAAATTCATATATAAAGTCACTAAACATAATCAAATCTACAAATTTAGCACGAGTTTAAGAGCGAGTTAATACAATTTTGTAAGTTTAAAACGTAAAAACGGTAAACTCGATAAATGAACTCGTAAGTTTAACTGAGTTTACAGTTATCACGAGTTTAAGAGTGAATCGACACGATTTTGTTAGTTTAAAACATAAAAACATTAAATTCGAAGAGTCAACTCGTGAGTTTGACAACAATGTTAACAATTGCTTTGAATAGAATTACATCATGCCATATATGTAGCTGACCCCGCCTAAGAAAAGACTTTGTTGTTGTTATTGATGTTGAACTTTGCGAACAACTACACATGACATGTAATTAACAAGTAGACTTATATCACCTTTAATTTTATGAATATTTTCATCTTTAATTTTATGAATATTGAACATTGTTAATTATTTCTTTGGTCCTATTTATAGGGTAGAGAGAAAAAAATGTTTTTTTAGTTCTATTTATAGGGTGCTGAAAGAAATTTTTTTTAATGGATGTACAATTTTAATTGTATTGATTTTATTTACATAAGGTGTAATGTATATTAAATATGAATAAAGTTAGAAAATTATTAAATTTTAAATGAGAGTTAATAAAATTTAAGATTTTCTTTGATTTATGTGAAATATATTAAAAGTTATTTATAAATAGAACCAGACTAATTAAAAGGGAAAATCCTAATAAAATCCGGTTGAAAAATTATCGTTTTAAAAATCAGACCAGATGTTAAGTCGAAAAAATCAGCGAGTCATGGTTCAAACGATTGGATCGGTTGGACCTTCTGGTTGGACCTGTAGTATAATAATTAGATAAAAAATAGCATTGTATGCATATATGATAATATATGTGCAAAAAATAAAATATACAATTTTTGGGTAATTTTAAAAAAATTAAATAGTTCAATTTCAGGTTACGGAATCGAATTAAAATAAAATTATCAATTTCATATTAATTAATTTTAATATAAGTAGCAGTAAATTGTAATTTACTTTTAAATAAAGCAGAAATTATAAATAATAAATAATTCAATATAAATATTTATCAATATAATCCATTTCTGTTTTGGTACTCACGTTTCATGTCCCTAGCTGAAGAACTTGACGCATGAAAGTTTAGATTGAAAACAATTTCATATATTCTTAATATTAATTTAACTTATTTCAAGTTTGAATTTTTTAATGTTAGCTTTTTTATCCACCTTGTCTTCTCGTTTCCAAGTCTTCTCTTTGAGTTTTTCGAGGTCTGCTTCTCTTCTACTGTTGCATATCACAATGTCTATCAAAAGTCAAAAGCTCACCAGTAGTCCTTTTTAATTTTCGTATTCCCACCTTTGTCCCTGGCCTTCTTTCTTCTTTTTGTATTTTGTTTTCTTCTTTCTCGTTTCAGATGTCATTTTCCTTCTCCTTCCGTCTTTTATTTTCATGCATCCATGCCTCCTAACTTCCGTTACAGACACTCACAGTGGCTGAGGGGGAAAAAAAAAGAAGTCGAATGGGCTTTCAATTGCAAAGAAAAATGGCGAACTTGCAAAGCAAGAGCAAAGAAAGAAGACGGAGCTCTCACGTTTGAGGTGGAAGTACGGACAGGATTCTGACCGGACGGTTTTCACATACTTGCTCCGGTTCCTGGACTTACGACGGTTGACGGCTTAATAGAAGCCAGATGACGAGTTAACATGGCCCAACTTCTAAAACGAGTTTTAAATCTGAACCAAGCCGGAGAAGGTTTCAGTAATACCTTGATCGGTCGGACTATTCGGTCTGGTCCAGATTTTTAAACACTAGTTAAAATATCTGAATTAAAACCTTTCTTTAATTAAAATGAAAAACTGATTATTTATCCCTCTCAAATAATCTCTAACCTCTTATGATTATTTTTAGAAACAAAAATCATAAAAAATTTTACAGTGTCTAAAACTTGTATGCATAACTAAAAGCTTTAAAAATATTTTAATAAAACATTTTAAATTTTAACATAAATAGCTTCAAAATAAATATTTTTTATTTTATGTTTGTCAATATTTATTTTAAGATCTTAAAATATTTTAATTACAAAAAATATTTAATATTGTGCTCTTACAATTTACGTTAGTTTTAGCTATTTCAGCATGCATTGGATTCCAACCCAAAGCATAATTTGTAACAACTTTAAATAAAATATTTCTTGTAAATAAGGTATTTTAAAATCTTAAAAATAAATATTTACAAGATAAAAATACAAAATATTTATTTAAAAGGTACTTATATTGTAATTTAAAATGTTCGAATAAAATATTTTTGAAAGTTTTGGCTACATATAGAAATTTAAACATTATAAAATTATTTATATATTTTTTAATCCCAAAAAATAATCATAAAAGAAGAAGAACTATTAGGAAAGGGTAAAAAATTAATTTTTTTAATTAACGAGGGTCATTCTGGCCATTTAATAATAATTAAAAATTTCTAATAAGACCTTATAGCTGATTAGAAATTTGTTAAAAATATACATCTAAATTTAAATTTAACTATTTTTTTATTTTTTCTTTTTGCCTAAACAAGCCACGTTTCACTATTTCATGGGACCCAATCTACATTTTTAATCAATGCCACCAAAATCACAGTTAGATTTGATCCGTTTTTTGTTTTTTTTATTTTTTGTTTTCTTTTTGAAATATTACAGGAAAATCGACTAGTCATTTATTCCTCCTTACGTCAATGGAGGTCATTCATTAGCAAATAGCCAAATGCCTGACGTGGGATGCTGACGTCCCTAACATCTCTAACCACCATTGAATGATTGATGATGAGCATTAGCCAAATCATATTAAACATCTCTAACGACCTCTTAATCAATAGGAGATCTTACATATAAAAGTTAATTAAGATGTTTATTTTAATATTAAATATAAGACTTTAATTTATTTAATCTCCAAGATTTATAATTTTTTTTCAAACAGTCCCTATTCATAAAAGGGTTTACATTAATAACATAGTGATCAAATAAAATGTCTTAAAAAAACCAATATATATTTATTATTTTAAAATATTAATTTAATTAGTTTTTTTAATATCTTTAAATTACTTAATTAGTTATCTAAAATCTTGTTTGTTATTATGTTTGAAATCACTTATAAATATATTTTATATAAGTCGAAATAAAATTTCTCTCACATATTTACCTCGTATTTTATAAATTATTATTAAAAAATTACTTATTATAAATTATTTCAAGGGCGACCTAACTTAATATGCAGAAAGCACATCATGCACAATGAGTCCAAAAAGAATCTGACAATATAGCATGTAAGCGTCGTTTTCTGGCACGGCGAACAAGGTGGAATAGTGGAGGAGGCAAGGGCATGGAATTTTGGCAGAGTAATGATTGCAGCTAAATTAATCAGTAATTAAAATACTACTCAAATGGATAAAAGCCAGGCTAACCCTGCTGGTTGGCACCCAGAATTTCTACTCAAAAGCACCCACCAGGCCACTACCTTTTTCGGCTTCCCGGAAGAAATAACAATAACATGAAGATGGAGAACAAGAAGACGCTACAATGGCTTCCTGTCTTGCAAGGTTTTGCTTCTTCCTTCTTCTTCGTCGTTTGCATCATCTCAGCACAGGCTCTGGCAGCTCATGCTGGCAATTCTGGTAAATTTAAACCTCTGTTCATCTCACCTCTCTTACTTTGTTTATTAATTAGTTTAAATTAGTTATTTTCTATGTGTGCATATATATATTTCAGGAGCTTTTTGGTTCAAGTCAAGAATCTTATGTCTTCATTGTTTAGAAGTCTGATTTTAGGTCATTAGTCTGGTTTTTTTTAAAATTTTTTGGGCCAACAAGTTATTATTCAAGACTTGATGATGCCTATTGTATGGTGTTTAACTTTTAGGTCCTCTGGCCTCGTTTATTTATTCATTTGTAAGTAATTTTATTTATGAGTAATAGCTACTCCTGTTTTTCAAACGATTGTAATTGTAAACTACTAAACTTATATTTTTAATTTTATATGAAAAAACTAATTTCAAAGTCCTTATAGTTTTTATCAATTTTGAATCAGGTCCCTATATTTTTTTTTTATTGGGTCCTTTAATTTTATAATGTTAAATCTGTTAGTCCCTTAAGAGTTAAATCTGCTAACAATGTTAAGTTTTCCGTTAGTCAAGTCTGAAACACTTTTGCCCTCTCTCCTTTCGCCATAGTCGACCCAGCTCTTCCTCTCCTTCATTCGTTCAACAAGTCTATCTTCTTATTCACCATTCTCCCTGCTTTTAACCTCTCCATAACACCTTCCCTTCTCTTGGCTATAATATCACCCAGACCCTCTTCGGCCATCTCACAGTCACTTGTCCATTGCCATCCAGCTTGAACCTCATTCGGAGAATTACAGTAACAAGAAAAGCATGAAAAAAGACGAAAGTATTGGGTTTGTGGGAAGAAAAGTGGTGAGTGATTCTTTTAAGCCCAACACCCAAAAACAAGTACCGTTGCAGAATCATCCATGGAGGTAAAAATGAAGTAGTATGAGAATCTGGATTCCTCTAGCCAGGCAAAATTAAATTTATGGCTAAAATTATGGAGAGGTTGAAAGCAACAGTGAGCCAATTATCAGTAGGGAGACGGTGGGTAAAGAGACGAAATCATGGAAAGAATGAAGGAGAGGGGAGAGCCTGGTTAGATGTGGTGGAAGGGGAGAGGAGGCAAAATATTT